GCAAATGAAATTCATATGTTGTCATTTCCAGCACAAACAGTTTCATGAATGAGTCATCACTAAGGTGACACAAACAACAAAATATTAGCCAAAACTTTCAGTGAAGATATCCTTACTGCCAGAGAGCATCAGGCAGCAAAGCTGCACTCACTCTGCTTTTGTATCAGTACCATTTCACAGGAGCCAAATTCTAAAGTGCTGCTGTCAGGTAAATACTGCATTTAAATTTCAACTTTTTGTTAAAGTTCCAAATCCTGTCTAGACTTTGCACCCAAGACATTTGAGACTGTTGTTAAAATTTATGAGAACTGTCAAGGAAAAAGCGTTACCAGTTATGTTTTATTATGTGAAACCTTTCAACTGCCAAAATGATCAAACAAATTTGACTGTCTTTACAGTTATGCTATGTAACTTCAAGGACTTTAAGGAAAGTCCAAAAATCAGGTCAGGACCCTGCGCCATGCTAAAACTCAATACTAAACAACAAAATACAAGACAGAGGACAAGAAGTAACCATTAAAACAATAAAAGAGAAAGAAAAATATACAGAAATAGTAAGCAGAAAAGTACAAAAACAAAAGTAAAAGCAAAAAAAATCTTAGCACTTAACATGTTTTTTGCTGGATTATTGTTTATCTAAATCATGATGAAAGAAAGAAAAGAACTAAAAAACAGGCTTTATATCAATATGCATCTATTGAAAGTTCTAAAAGTATCTTATAATAACAAAACAAAAAAACCCCAAAAAACAAAAATGACAGCTATTTTTTTGACGCCTCTTTTCTGAGTTTTAAATATCTGGTAAAACAAAAACAAAGAAGGAACCAGTGGAGGAATAGCAAGTACTAACAAACAATCTAGTTCTATCCTCAATCCAACAGATGCATGAACATACATCAAATTATCATTATTTTTAGTGCAACTTTAGGTAGTGAGTATGACAATCTAAAGACTGCAGTGGGTTTAAGCGAACGAGTTGAAAATGGTTACCTGCTGGAAAACATCAGCTCCCTCATCATAGTCCACTACCGTGAAGAATAGCTTGTTGGAGAAAGCAGATGAGTACCGCCATGAGTTTGCCAGGACCTGGTACTCCTCATTTGCCTGCCTACAAAATAAACAGGACAGACAGAAGAGATATATATTAATTTGCAATTGTAAAATGCAACAGTATTACATTCACAATAAACACAAGCATGTGCAAAAACATTTGCCATCAGTGCTATGCTCAAAAACAATCATTCTTTTGCGTACTTAAGTTCCAAAACTTAAAAAGCCTAGTTAAAATTAGTATGTAGTATGAAACTGGGACAGAGCTTAAGAGTGATGTGGGAGTGAGGACTCCAGTGATTAGCCATCGTTTTCACTGCCCGATAGTCCTCTTAAAGCAGACACTCAGGTCACCATCTAACATCCATCTTACACTCTCTCCTTGCTCTCTTTTTCTAATGATGTCACACTAATGTTAATAAGAGAATGCTTGGAGCAAGGAAAGACAGAGAAGGTGAAGACAAAAGACAAAAGAAGTGACATTAATGTATACATCTGTTAATTATACAGTATACGTTTTATATAGTAGTTTATATAGTTTTATATAGTAAGTATTATATAAGTTTGCTAGTTTGTTGTTAGATTAAAAACACATACAAACAAACATAATTTTTGGATTTAGAATTTATATATTTTGAATAAAGGACTTTGTATTTGTGGTGTGTATTAAACTGTAAATTGCAGAATCTGGTTTGGCAACGATTTATTGAGTTACCTGCCTGCTGTGTGGTACTGACATGGCTGATGAATAACTTATCTAATCAAGTGACTGATGATGTAGAAGAGTGGCTGATTAAAGAAACCAGCCAGGTCAAGATAGAGAAGGTCAGTGATGATTTCATCAGCTGGCTGGATGCCCCTTTGGACACAACCATGCGAGCTGG